AAAAGTTAAATATGCATGACTGTTAGTTGTTAAACTTATATGCATGTAAGAAATAAATATGTGTAAGATAATATTCTCTTACTTTTGAGTGTTACTTTTAAAATAGATTTTTGTATATGTAATGAAATAAAACATAAACGGTAGATAATAATATGTAAATTTTATAATTAATGATTCATATTTTAGTWATTGGAATAATTAAATCCGGGATAAATATAGTAGAAACACAACTGTATTATTTATATAAAAAAAATTCATCCACACCATGCATGAAAAATCTTCCTTTCCTTCCGTCAAAATTGATAAACGTAGGTCTTTGATTGACATCCTGTAAAAGGTGTTATGTAATATCATGCATGTAATAATATATATGACATCCTGTAAAAGGTGTTTAGTAGTTTAACTTGAATTTATAAGATATTACATATATATTATTAACAAATTATGTTTAAAAAAAATACAATGATTTAAAAATTTGGACTACTGGAATTTGAAGATTCAAAGTAATTCTGGTACAAGTACAACTTAAAGATGTGATTGTTCGATTGCTTGATAAACATACCAAGTAAATAGTTGATAAAAAATCTTTTTTTTTGTGAATTATTTCCATTTGATTTAAATATTCTCCAAACATTGTTTCGACACTTTAATATTTTTAAACACTAATGATAATTTAATTAAGAAAAGTATATTTAGTTAACTTAAGCCATGTCATCATTTCTCCAAAGACATATCATAATTTTTCAAGACATGTCATAGTTTTAATCAAATGAAATTAAAACACCTAAGCTAGTTAAATAATATTACTTTGGTTTTAATAGGAAGGAGATTTCTCTTTACTTTTGACATTGATTTTTTTTTTTTTTGGAGAAAAGGGTATTCTAATATTTTTTTTATTAATTGATTTATTTGGTTAGATAACAAATGATGTTTTTAATGTAAAAAAAATTAGAATTTACGAGTACTTAAACTTTGCATTTTTATCTTAAAAAGTTATAGAAAACCATAAGCCCCAATATATATATATATTTGAAGAATTTTTCGTTTTCAAGCTTGTATTTTGTTCAATTGCTCAAATTGCACGTACTAAAAGATGGTCATGGTTTTTCTAATTTTTCTTAAAAATGTACGTTTTTTGACATGGTGAAAAAATTTATAGGTCTGCCATTGGTCGGCATGCATGGAGTTTTGTTCGGATTCTATTATGATTTACTTTTGATATCGAATTTTTATTAGCTGGTTTTGGCATATGTTCGATAATGGGAGTTCTATGGATCGCTAAAGGATTTCTGCATTTCCTTGAAATTTCTTTCAATCAATATTGTTGACAACGATCGTATATTAGCAATAATTCTGCTTTGAAATTTTGTTC